GACTTGGGCAGGCCTGCGCCCTCGCCGGACACGCAACATGGAAGTTCTGGAGTTGAACATGGACCTTGCGTCTTTGGCCATGCTCCTTCTAATTGGACAGAGGACTCGGCTGTGTTGGAAGTGTGCCTCTCGAGTCCTCTTGGCAGTTCTGCCTGCTCCTCCTGCATTGGGACCGTATTGGGGATATCGAACGCGGGAAGCCGCCGCCGGTTCCTCCTGCCAGTTCTAAATGTAGTTCGCACCGGGAAGAACCTCGAGCCATCGAGGCTGCAAGACGGACATGTGTAACCAACTCCAATTCTTGGACCAATTCTTGGGCCCTTTCCTGCAATATTGGCTCTGGATGCCGGAGGACATGGCCACGGCCACGCAGATGCCTACTTAGCAGATACTCTCCCTGCACGTCGCCCAAGACCGCCCTACGATATCTGCCTACCCACTGTAGGTACATAGGCACCCATCATCAACTCGCCTTGCTGGACACCCTTTGACTGCTAACGCTCATGTGATCTCTCCTCAAAGTCTACCATAACATGCCCATCCGCTCTCAACCTCGACAGGCCAAGGTAGCAGCACGCAAGGTTGACAAAAGGGTACCTGGCATGAGCCGTTCTTTTGCCCACTGGCAGTCCGGCCAGCTCTTGCCTCGACACCCTTTCCACCCATGGCCCGCGTCCAACATCCGCAAGTGGCCGCCATCCGGGGTCACGGCTGCGTAACATTCACAGCAAGTCAAAGGGGAGGGGGAGCCATGTTGCAAAAGGGTGTGTCATGTTGACATGGCCATGGCGGCGATCCAATCGTTCTTTTACGTGCTACCGCTCGACGCGGCCCGCCGACTCCTCCCTTATCGCCATTTATCAAAATCGAGGCAAACTCCTTGGCTGTTGGTTTCAATACATACACCATGATGCGGGTTGCTATGCCGCACAGAACAGGATCTAACCAGATAATGGCCCCGAGAGATGCCTGACTTCACTGCGCAAAACACAGGGACTTTGATACCGGGGCACATACCACTTACATGCCATACACCGCCGTATAGTCCTCAGGATTGGAAATAGAACTGCGGAGCCGAATGGGCCCCTGGCTGCCTAAATCGCGTCCCAATAGTGGACCACACTCCATCATCCCTTGGCCTGGAACGCCATCATTCACCCAATACTGCATATAGTGGCTTTGCTTCCGCCCACAAGTGAAATATGGGCTATACACGAGGAAAAAAAACACATACACACACACGAGAAAAAAACAAGAAAAACATGGGCATTTCTATGGCGTTGTGCGTTGTGTGTGAAGAAACCCATCCTCGCTTGGCTTTGAGATTACTGGAACATGGCCGTGGGCGACTACAGAGGACAGCCCTAGCACTCTCGGTACATGGCGCGAGTAGGACGGCTACGCACCACATCTGAGGCTGACAACGGGTTGACTGCTTTGGACAAGGCCGCTGTCAAACCCTCCCCCTCCATGCCATATGGTGTACAGGGACCTGCACCAGGTGGGCATGAGATTGCCAATGGGCCGAAGCCTCACGGAGAGTCAATTGACGACTCGGCGCCTCGATGAGGAATCCATTGGCCAATGTTGTTTCTTGCGCATCCAACGAGAGCGGGCCGCGTGACAACAGCTTCTCTGATCGCACATCACTGTGCGCACCAGAGCCTATGATGAGTCTGCACCAGGCAAAATGACGCCGAAGCGGCCGCCTCACGCTCACCATTGGGTGGCACGAGTTCCTAGCTGATACGAACCACCTGCCCCTACTCAGAGGCGCAAGTTTTTAACTGGATTGAGGGGAGGAGCGGGCAAAGGCGCAAAGGTGTCTCGTCGAGGCCGGTCGTGAACGATGGGCCGAAGGGAAAACTCCGTACAGTGTAAGTGGGAGAAGCACAAGAGCCTCTGTCCAGAGTCTAGGAGGTGAGTCACAAGATATGGAGTCACAGAGCATGAGAACCACTCAGAAACCGAAACAATGAGTGTGACGATGCCGCTTCAGGTTTAGCTTTGCTGGCCGGGGTGGCGCAGGTGAGCGACCAAAAGAGCGGCTTACAGGATGAGACGATGCAGGACATAACTACAGTGGGTGTAGTTACTAGTCAGGACCCTATACAGGACGGAGGCAGGAGCAGGTTAGGCAGGCGACTACTCCGTACAAACGACAGGGTTGTACATACAGAGGGAGGGGTGCGTGTCGGTGTCCAGACGACAAGCCAAAGCAAAACCGAAAGCCGTGGCAAAGCCAAAGCAGCAAAGCCATGAACGGGTCCGGACCTGTGCTGGATTAGTTGACAGCCGCCCGCCGCCTATCGATAAATTGATAAGCCAAATGCCGTGCAGCAGCGTGGACTGGTGGACCGTGGCCTGTGGTGGGATGCCGGCCGCCCAGCGTTTGTTTGCCCTCTGGGCTTATCAGTCGCAAACCTCGATGGCACCGTTTCGAGCCGAATTGAGATGCGCAAATTTGACAATGGTTGCGTCTTGGCCCTGCGCACTTATTAACACGGCACGAAGAACAATTCGACCTGACATGACGGGCATTGTAGCCAAAACAGCAGTCGCGGTGACGACAAGAGCAAACGTCATCTCGAGGCACGATGCCTCTTTTAGCGCCTAGATGGGACATGGGATTGGGACATGGACATGGAGTGGCGGCAGCGTGCGGCGGCGCGGGGCATGTGCAGTGCCCAAGACTACTTAAACATGCACCAGACGAGGCCAACGGGGACGGGGGGCCTATCCGTGCAAGTCTCTACGGGACGCACTGGGGGGTACGCTTAGTAGAGCCGCCATGAGGGATAATGTCCCTCGGCCTCTGGCAGAGTTGCGCACCGCGGTGCTGGGCCATCACAGATGTCCCGCACCACGGGATTGCAGCTTCGCCATGCCAATTGTTAAGCTGCCCTCCGGGGTTTACAAATCAAATCCTCCCGAAAACCCCGCACAATGGAAACACGCAACGCTGACGCCTGGAGTTGATGGACTAGACGACTTCTCGGTACGGCTTCTTCGGAACCTGCCAGCCAAAGGCGAATGCGAAGGCAGTGACCGTTGTGCTACAGGATGATTAATATGGGTTTGCTGAAGCTTAACGCCGAGCATCATGGACATGCCGTGGAACTTAGAGTTGGGTTGTATCCTGCGGGAGTTGAGAGTTCATGCGCCTGCCACACAGTGTCCTCTGCGAAAAGTAAGGAGGACTGTCGAAGAGAAGCAAGAAACCAGGAGAATTGCCTGATACGACGTCGATCATTTGAATGGGACGGCCTCGTGAAGACGGCCCGCTTGAACTGGTCATCTTGGCTCTCCACCGCCATCCGCCACCCACCACATGCTTAAACAGATCAGTCCAGCCATCCACCACGATGGAGGATACGACGTCGTGATGTAGACCGGGTGATGGCTGGCGCACGAGATAGTCATTTGACAATGAAGTCGTCTGTTTCCAACCCGCCGGAAACGCCCCATCTTCACTTGAGACCCGGCGGCATGTCTTTTTCCTCGAGTTGACGAGAATGGATATGTTTGTTAAACCGGGAAAAATCAGACTTTGCACGAATCAGAGTGGGTAGCTGGGCTATATCACGACGGCCTGGCCACGTATGGTTATAACGCTGGGAAGTCGACATATCCAACGATATCGCCGCGTGTTGGTACAAGACCTGTATCAAGTTCACCAGAACCCATCTCGGGATATGCGAGTGTTAACATGTCCATTCTCATGCTTGGGCGCTGGACCAATGTCGCATATTCCGTGACACTCCCTCCCTTTATACCACTACTGTACCGGCAGACTAAACAGTACAAACAAGACTGCCACGTTGAGCTGAGTAGTCGATTGATCCACAGGCTAGCAATATCTTCACACTGCCAATGTACGCTTTCATACTACAATCCGGGAACACGGACGCGCAACTCCCTGGTCGAATACCGCCTCCGTTATCCTTATACTCTGCACCCACAAACGTGACACTCTGCAAGGAGACAACAAGCCAGTGGCCAGTAAACGAGGTTGAAAACACAGAGCCCAGCCTTAGACTACAGCATCGCATCTCACCTACTGCCATAGTCCTTCACGGCCTACCGCCCCGAGTAGTGCAACGTGATATTTGATTCTTCCACATTGCAAACCAGCAGGTGGTAGCTGCGCAAGCCACGATGGCCTACTTCCAGAGCGTGGCGCATGTATCAAATGTCGACCCGTCGAGACTAGGGCCAGCGGCGCGGCAGACGATCCGTCACTGGTGCTCTGTATGCTTAACCTGCAGATGATGCCATTCGTCAGTCTATTCGCATTTCTTCATGCTGACCTTGCACTATTCATGCCTGGCAGGCTGTCCACTACAACAACACACCGCATTGGCAACATCTACGACATGGTCCGCAATGGCGGAGGCATGTTCCTGGCATAACTGCCCTCGGCTGTATTTGCCTTCTACATATCTACCTCTATGCGTCCAGCTTCAAGCTGCCACCGGCAAATTCCCTACATTGTAATCCTGCGACTAACAGCCCATGTATCCAATTCATATCCATCCATCCAACAGCCGGACCTTCTAATCTAGTCAGTCCATGTACCCATTGTCGGAATCCAGAGGAGGTGTTCCAGTAAGATTCACGTAGGAAATTTCATGAGACTTATGTTTGTACCGTGTATCAGGTAACCTATTTCGAATTGTAAAGACACTTGATCCACGGCCGGCGGTTTGATTGCCCCCATAAATTGCCCTCACTTGCCGCATTCATCGTGTTCCGCAACACGCGGAGGGCTAACGCGTCGGACATGTCTTCTAGGCAGCAGTTTACAATGACGCGGCATTGCGCTTGCATAAACCCTTGCCCGCGAGCTTGAATGAAAGTCCAATGTTCCAGTGTTCCGATTTGCCACGCCAAGCCCGACAGCATGCGTTGGCGTGGTGTGCGCGTCCCCGATGAACACCAGGCATGCATGCCAAAAAAAAAAAAAGGATCCATCGTCAAACAATGTTGCTTTGGCAGCTTCATGTAAAGTCGTAAACCATTAAGCTCTCTCGTCCGTCCCGAGCCTCCTTCAGCACCACCACCATTTCTTCGTCAAAACCGACCCAGTTCTTCGTATCATTCAAGTCGGCCACAATCCTTGGCGTCGCAGAACCTTTCATCTCGGTGCGCCGCTCCCCATCATCACTTGGCCGCCTTGGCCGTACCTCGACGCTGCTTCCGCTCACGCGCCCTTCTAGCTCCCAAACCCGAATCTCGTCGCCACGCGTGCTGATACTAACTGCTTTTCCCCGCGGCGTGATTTCTGCGTCGGAGATGCCCGAGGTGTGGCCCCAAAGACGGATGCCTGGCGAAATTGAGAGCGATGAAGCAGTCGAGGTGCAGAGGTGAAGAACTAATGTGTTGTCTGGCAAAGTGGCAAGTAGGTAAGGGTGACTGTAGCATAGCCGGATAGGGCCGTCTTCCTCAGGCTCCAGCGGTATTGGAGAGCGGGCCCGTGAGTGGGAAGGTGAAGAGGACGGGGATGACGTTGCTGACCTGCGAGTTTGGGTTGGCAGTGTGTAGGCAACTCTCGAGGTAACAATATCTGGCGTCGCCGATCCAGACGGCCTAATGTCCAGGTCCTGTATGCCAATAGACCATCCCCCGACGGCGTCAAAGGTGTATGCGATCGAGGCAATGACTGAAGTTGCCATGCGACGTACTGATAGGGCAAGCGGTGGCCGTGTGGTGTGAGACTTGAGCGAGGTGAGAAGACGCGGCTGGGTGAATCGGGAGCCCGGGGGAGGAACCGTCTCTCCAGACTCAGCCACTGATGACCTGCGCACACCGCCCTCGGGTCCGATATCTGACTCTCGAGTTGAAGCTGTCCCGTCGTCCGGGTGCTCAAACGAAAACAGAGAAATAAATCCAAGCCTCGAAGCCGTAAATATGTACGGGTGTGCATACGCAATGGCGACTAATTCGCCAAAATAATTCTTTGCATGCTGGTACAGTATACCAATCTTTCCAGTTTTGACGTCCAACTTCCAGATGGCAAAGGTGCCGTCTTCGAAGCCCACGGCCACATCTAGTCTCCCGGTATTAAGTAGCAAGTCATCAACTGCCAAGCAGCTGGGCTGATTTGTCTCCTTATTGTTCCCAAGGTCTGCTTGTGCAATAAGTCGCCTAGTTTTGAGGTCCCACGCCCTCAAGCCCGAGGTCCCATCCACGGTGACTGCCAGACCATCGACCACCTTGACCATGGTCTGCCATTCTGCCGCAGGGGTGTCTCGTTCGACACAACGGACCTGAACTTCGTCGACGGCGCAGGCCCCCCGAGCCCAGTTGTGTCGCAACTTGTACTGCTTCTTCCAGTCTACGAGCTCCCCAGGACCAGTTGCCGCAGTTTCGTTGGGTCCACCGACAAAGCCGCCTCTTCGCCCCCATCCCCCGTCAGCCCAAATGGTCTTGCTGGTCGAGTATCGTAGCTTACTGGAGCTCCGGGTGGATCCTGTGCGGAAACCAGGGATCATATGAGCTCGGGGCAAGATGAATCGGCGGTAGTAGTGCGGTCGCCATAGTTGTGAATCAGACGTGATGCGGTTGAAGCGCCTGGACACGGGAGATACGCCAAGGAGCGTCTTTTCATCTAGAAAAGAGAGAATCCGGATGAGTAGCTCGTCGGATAGCGTTGATATAATATCACGGGTATGCAGCGAGCCTATAGTTCGAAGGCGCTTGGTTAGGGGCTGCGACGACGGTTGGTTCGGTTTCGCGTCAGAATTGGTCTGGGTGCAGCTATCGTCACGGTCTTCCGCCTCTCTATATTGGACGAGTTTGCGCTTGTTCGGCATAGTCATTGTCGTAGGCAAAGCAACTCAACAGACGCCGCCAGCTCTCTATCTCGTAGTTAAACAGTGAAGGCTCATTCGTGGCAGAGGAAAAAAGGATGTGCCATTCAGACGAGGGGGACGGCGTAGCTAGGTGCGGCGGCAAAACAGCAGCAGCTATTAGTCACCGGGAAAGAGAGTTGCCCGCCAGGAAGAGAGACAAGTCGAAGAGGCAGCCGGTCGGAATAAGACAAGACAAGACAAGGCAAGACAAGACACGACGAGACAAGAGGCCTAGAGGGCTGGTCTGAAAGCGCTCATATCGATACATCCGGGACGCGGCAGGACTGGGGATTTTATGGAGGATGTCGACAACAAGTCCATGGTGGGGGGTTGGGTTGGGGTTCACCAGGGAGTGACGCGCCATTGGCTAGTGAGGGACGGAACAGTTAAAGGAAGGAAGGAGCTACCTCGTGGTGACTACCGAAATAGGGCAGGAGCCAGTGAGCTGCAGCGCACGTCCTTGAAATGTTTGTAAAATGCTGCCACCGCCAAGTGCCGAGTTGTTCCTGGCCAGCTCTCTGCCTCTCATCCATTATCATGGCCTTTCCAGCTTTTCAAGCGTTTCCAGCTCTGCCCCTGGGTAGAACAGATGCAGCCCATGTCTCCGCATCACGCTCTCTGCCCCATTGATGCTCAAGATCCAAGGCAGCGACATGTCTCGGCCACCCCACAGTCCACGCAAGTCTTTTTCGACCCGTCTCCAAACTCAAACCATTCGCCCGTCAAATCAGTTCTAGCAGATGGACGCTCGGCCATGGGAGGCTCGCAAAGGACTATGCCAAACTAGGCATCGATTCATGGAATATGATAGATGCGGGCTTTACTCCTCTCAGTTCGACCTCCCCAAGCACAGATGCGGACTACCAAAAGAAACAATTGTGCGGTCGAGCATCAAGCGCGTCATCTAATCACATCCATTGCTATCAAAGTACGGAGTACTCTGTACCGAGTACATACTTAGTGCGGAGTGACTACGCTACTAGTGAGGTCCAAAAAGCAAGGGGCAACGAGCTGATTGTTTTGCTTTTTTGTGGCAGGCTGACTGTTGACCAATTGTAGGTGCAGGACCAGGATTGGTTTGTCTCCTCGAGGCCTGGACCCTTGTTTCCGCGACTGCTCCTGACGGTCGGTGTTAATTGACGACGAATTACCGAATCCCCTTCGGTCTCGAAGCTTTGCTGGGATGAATATACTAGTATTGAAAAAACGGTGAGCAATTCGTCGATAACGAGATGCTCCGAGTTGCCGCACAAGCCCCTGAACATGTTGACTTATCAATTGACGCTGTGATGGCTTGTGCTGTCTGGCAGAATATATTTGGCTGTCGAGAAGTATACACTAATATGCTGTCGTGTATTAGAGCAATGGGCGTGATAGCCAGGTACCTATTGGGGTCAAATGCCTTTTGCCTCCCACTGTAACTGGGTAAATGCAGCAGATAACTTGATGATGCCTGTCCAGCACACTTGGCTGCCGTCGTGATGAATTTCGCATGTAATGACAGTGATAGAGACCGTGCTACCCTTCCCATCAGCTCAACACCATACGTACATACTCATACGGGTCGTGGTCGATGTAGATGAAGAGCGCCATCTAACCACGCCGCATTCCCGGCCCAAAGAGATGTACCCCTGAACATGGAAAAACCACCAGACGACTCGGAAGAACAAAAAAGGCCGCGGATTTTCATGTCAACGGCGCAATTGGAGCGAGATCAGATGCTGCACTGGCCGCCGTTCTAGTCCCGCTCACCGGGCGCAAAAAGGAATAAGCTTTCACCCTGCGTCTTCAGCCGCCAACGGTTATTGCCGACTCAGATGCTTTGACTCGTCTTGCACCATCAGCTACATGTAGGCCATGAACAAACCTCGGCGCCTCACGCAAGCATCCTTCGCATCTTTGCACTCTTTTCGAACCCCCCCTTTCCCCACGTACCCAAGCAGCCGTGATTATTCTTATATCGTTAGAGTACGGTAGTAGTAGTACTCGGTATGCTCTCGGGAATCATTCTACATCCAGGTCTCGTCATCATATCACATGCCCACGCTCGCAAACAGCCCATCATACACCTTTCCCACCCAGCCGTCCGCCAATCCCCCCCTTGCCACAACTCCTAGCCCCCCTATCGCCCACAAGGCCGCAAGCCCAGCAGCGACTCCGTGAACACTCAACCACTTCCTCCTCCGCTGTGTCCTCGTCTTCTTGTCCACGGCCACGCTCCCCCTGCCTCTCCAGCCCTCTGTCGACGGCGCCATGCCGAACCACCGTGCCAGCCCCCAGACCATGTGCCCGCTCGCCGTGGCCAACAGCCCGAGGTACGCGAGCCTCGACGTGACGGGGTGCCTGGCAAAGCCGTGCGCGACATACGCCAGCCCAATGTTGGAGCTGTCCCCCTCGACGGCGAGCGGCACCACCCTGTTCATGAAGACGTGTGCCCCGTAGAATAGCGCCAGCGCATACCCAGACAAGGAAATGTACGTCAACGGCGGCCACAGGCGCACCGCGCCGCCGGCGCCCTTGCCCGACAGCGCCTCCCGCATCCTGTGCAGCGCGTACATGCCCGGCGTGCCGCCCCCGTAGCGCTCCATGTTCTGCCACCGCCGCAACAGGCGCAGGGCCAGGCCGGCGCCGACGTGCAGCACGACAGGGAGCGCGACGAGCACGGGCTCGGCAACGGACGTCTGGTAGATCTCGCGCGTCATGAGGAGGTATGTCTCGGAGCCGGCGACGGACCGCGTCACCGCGGGTATCAGGGACACGTTGGCGAGGTGGAGGGCCGTGAAGACGCCCGTTGCGTAGGACGAGTATCTCTGCACCCGCGTCACTGCTGTTCATGTCAGTCGTGCGGATGGGAGGACGGCGCGCTGCGAGGACGGACAGTAGTATATGGCGCTGCGGCCGCTGCTCAGGCCCAGATGGCTGGTTGTGCCGGCCGAGCCGCTGCGTATTGAGCTATCTCCGCCTTCGTTTTGTGATGTGGTGTCTTGGCCGGCGGGGAGGCTGCTCTGCTTGTCGGCGGCAGAGGGCGACGGCGAGTCCATGGGCGACGGGTCGAGCTGGAGGAGGGAGATGAGCGTCGCTTGGGAGTCTTTGTGGTGCAGGCTCTGCCCGCCTGGGGTGTCCATGGCTCTCGCGCGACGGTGTGGGAGCCCGCGCGGAAACACGTCGTCCTGCGGGTTGACGAGATGCGACTCGATGTTGTTTTTGGCAACGTGGAATCGGGCGCCGACTCTGATACCAGACAGAATAAGTTACATACTTGTAGCTGCCTGGGGAATCTGGCGTCTGGTTGCATGTGCGGCGCCAGTCGCGTGGTCACGCTAATTCCGGCACCTGTCAGTGGCTGCGGCCCCTGGAGCGGAGCCCACCTCAAGTCGATGCCTGCATGTGGTGCTCAGTGCTCCAACGCCCACTTCACCTCCCGACGTCCGTCTCCCATCTTCGCACCCCAAGCTCTCTCTCTCTCTCTCTCCCGACAAAGGCCGTGTCCAAGCAGCCTTCGTCGCCCGCCATGCCTCCCGTACGTCAAGAGCCCGTCGCTGTCGCGATTTCCTGCCAAGCTGACCTTGCCCGCAGCGCCACCAGACCCTGCCCCCGGCGCAGACCTCGTCGGCGCGCGAGGCCCAGAAATCCTTCTACTGCAACCTCTGCTCCAAGGGCTACTCCCGCATGAACGACTACGAGGCCCATCTCTCGAGCTACGACCACTCCCACAAGCAGCGCCTCAAGGACATGAAGGCCATGGTGCGGGACCCCAACGCCGGCGCCCGCGCGAGGAAGGCCGAGGCCAAGGCCGAGGGCCTGGTGAGCATCAAGCTGCCCGGCCAGGAGGGCGGCTCGGGCAGTGCTGCCACGGGGGGCTTTAAAAAGGGCGGATTCAAAAAGACTGGGTTCAAGAGTGCCTTTGCGCCGGCCGACGGTGTCCAGAAGACGGTGCAGAGCGCGCCGAGCCCGCCCGTCAAGCCCGTCTTGAAAGACTCCCTGGTGGAGAGCGACACGGAGGACGAAGGGTACGAGGTCTATGACCCACGGTATCCGACCGACTGATTCATATCTTCTCCTTCTCTCTCTCTCTTCTTTACGCCACGAGTATGACACAATGACAACGGTACAATTCGGTTTCCTAGCGTGCAACGCTCATGTTATTTTTGACTAGGAGATGGATTATATGCAAGGAGCAATCGGCCCGTGGGCCAACTTTCGCCAACCCGCCTCAGTACACCACCGTCATAACTTGTGCCGAGCCAAACTCGACTTGGTATAGGTTCACATGCCATAACTCATAACTACGTGATGATCCCGATCTCAACCCCAAAACAGGAAAAAAAATTAAATAATCAACGCCAGGTAAAAGTCATTACATGGGAGAGGTTTGTTGTGCCAGAGGTACCTGCGGAGATACTATCTGCTGCGGCTGTGCCGCTTGCTGCTGTTGCTGCTGCTGCATCCACCGATATGAATCGATATGCGATAGATCTTCCTCCAAGAGGCCCATCATATTGCGGTTCCCGGAGAACCAGTCCGCTATCTGCGCGGCCTGACCACTGAGTGGCGGTGGACCGCCGGCCGCGTTGGTATTTCCCATGGTCTGGTCCTCGGTGGGCATAAAGCCCAGCTGGCTGAGGTACATTTCGAACTCGTCGCCGATGGGGACCATGGTCTGGTCCTGCTGCTGTTGGGACTTGGCTTCCACGTAGAGGCCGGCCACGTCGCACATGACTTGGCATAGACGATAGAGCTTCTCAATCGTCTCCGAGGCGTCTCTTGCTTCGTCCAGAGAGTCGACGAATTCCTGGAGTAATCGGAGGTCATCCAGGGAGCCGGTTTCGATGACGTAACAAAAGAGGACAAAGAATGGCGCGAATGGGGTAAGGAGAAGGTTCCTAGGATCTGTATCAACATTGTGTATCATTAGTCATGAAGGGAATGGCCAAAAAACACGTACCAGTGGATGTAAATTGATCTGAAATAGCCGCCTATCGTAGACCTCTTGGTGCACTCTTGGTGCACCTTCATGGCTTTTCGAGCCGTGGCCAGGCACTCGTCGCAAAAGCGACTGACTGAGCCTTCAGGCGCGGGGATGACGCGGTATACCAGTGTCAAGGTGACCTGGAACTGAACCTCGTCGCCTCGCAAGAACACGTCCACCAGATCAGATGAATTGACTGCCTTGAGGTAGGCGTACGTCTCGTTACGGGCCTTGTCGGCCTCGACTTCGAATTTTCGGCACTCGCTGGCCAGGGCTCTTGCTCGTTCAACGAGATCTGCCGGTGGGCTTTTCAGGGCGCTCGGGCTATATAACTGCTCGTAGATTCGACTTTGCAGATAGCTCATCTTGATCCAGAGCGTCGGAATCGTTGACGAGTCTTCCTGCCCCAGACCATCAAACTCGAATACACGCGGGATATCAATGTCGCACTCATGTATGACTGGGGCTCGACCAAGCCTGAGGCCTAGACCTTTGTCAAGAGTGTACACATGCCAAAAGAGTATCCGCTTTAACTTGGCTGTTGCTGGCGGGTCGAATTTGAGCGATTCCGAGCGATGAAATCCACCAGTCTGGCAGAGCTGAGCCGCCATGCAGGATAAATGCCACGCGACTGAAGGGCGGGATACATCCACAGCATAGAGAGCCTGGGTTGAATATGTTAGCAAGACACCTCCATGGTCCATGATTGTTTGGGGGGTTACATACGCCTAGTAGTAATGCTTGAACATTTTCGACTCTTGTTGCCAGGAATAGGTGTGTATTCGCGAGAGCAGTCTCAAGGTTGGCTTGACTCTGACTCATATATGCGTGGTACTCGTCCCGTGCCATGGGGTCGGTAGCAAGTGAGTTTTGCTCCATGAAAAGGTTATAGAGCATGGCATTTACAATTATGAATGTGGCGTCAGAAAACTCCTCCGTTGCAAAATACACTCTGCGACACAGCCCGGTAAAGTCTGGCAGCCCGACGAGCGAACACATGATGGTGAACAGGGTTGGCGGAGCAGCTTGTGGAGTGTTAGTTTGCCTCGCTTGAAGTATACGGGGTGAGAAAAGAACCAAAAAAAAAGGGATGGTACCTTTGGCGTGCTTTAAAAGACTCACAACTGCCTGCATGGGCGGCATAGGGAGCTTTGAGATGCCACCTGGTGGCACAGGCTTCTGGAGAGGAAACCGGGGACCGTGACTTATTGATCGACGTTTTTGCATCTCAACCAATTGGCTAAGGTTATTCAAGCCGGCAGCCATCTTGGGATTTACTTCGCGGAGGGATGTTCTCTTGACGGCACTCTCGAGGAACTCGCTGGCAAAGGTGGTATGGGCAATCAAGCCCGTATCACCACCGTAGGCGGATTCATCGTCGCTGCTGTCAAAGTCGCCAGTTGAGGCAGCAGTTGGGATACTACTGCTACCGGTTTGTGGTGTGTTGCCTGCGGCCGTCGGGTCACCGTGAAACTGGATAGGTGCAGCTGGATTGGCGATATTCTTGAGGAGTACCTCGATATTGCCCAAGCGGCTTTCAATTTGATCAATCTTCTTCTCACTGTGGGTGAGGTACGACGGATGAGTCTCCAAGTCAGCAGTTTGTTCTTGCAACGTAGGAGCAAGATGAGGTGCTATTGCGAGTCTGGCAAATTGTAGTTGCATGACGGCGTTTGCGAGACCAAGTCAAGTTGAGACGGTCATGACGCCGACAGCAATAAATAAATAAAGGGGGCTTGTGAGGGGTTGCTCGCGAACGAGGTGTATTGAGAAGGTTTGTGGGATATCAAGGCAGGCAGACTAACTATTGTGATGAAATGAGAACACGCTGTCGAGGTTCTTTCGGCCGCTGGCCGGCGCCTGTGGAGGTGCAAGATCGTTTGGCCGTGCGGCAATTTGAGCATGGCCAGTCCTTATCACAGCGAATCTATATACGGCCAAGATGAAGCTACAGTCAGCGTCATGGATCATGAAGGGTGGAATGGGCGCAAGCCGCGCAAAGGCCAGACGTGGCCGGGGCCGGAGAGCAGGCCAGCCGCAGGGTGAGATGCGCAAAGAGGATGGTGAAGGCTCAAGGGTCAACTGGTACAAATGTATGTAGTGAAGGGCATGATTGAATGGTGATACAATGGAATGACGGCGCTCATTCCCCCATTGTCGGCCACCCTGGGGATGCAAGGTGGTACTATGACGTACCTTTCTTAATCGACATTGATCACACTGCGACGCGCAAAGACCTAGTGGTTAGCACAGATGCTCCGTGGACGAATTGGCAGCGATGAATATCAACCCAAGACACAATTATGCAGGCAAGAATAGGCGAGGACGGCGGCGACGGATCCGCGACACGGCGACACACAGCAGCACGGGTCCGAAGACGGCAGCAGATGGATGAAGGGTCCAGGGCATCTTGCGTCCTCTGCCGTACCTTGAGTGCAAACAGGACTCCGGGATGCGGCTTGAATACAACTTACAGCTCGGCGGCCGCTGGGATCGTCGGCGGCCGCGGAGGCAACTCCTCCGTGAGACAGAGCCAGGCCCTGGGCCGAATTCTGCATGGCCCTTCTTTTGCAGGTTTGTCTTGGGGTGGAAAGCGACGGAGGGGCGGCAGCTGGAGGTGAATAAAGTGCAGTTCCAGTTTCGCGGTCCAGCCCTACACCGAAGGCCTGCTGGAAACGATTACTGGTTGGCACTATCAAATCAGAGCTTTTGGACGGGTTCAACGGATGTCGGTGTCAGATTCCATTGATTCCACCTAGGCGAAGGATTGGCGGGGGGTGCCACCAGACCGGCCACGGCCAACAGACCGGAGTTTATTGCGATGGCCACACGTCGACTTCCTCTGTCTGGGTCTTGGTGCGTCGGTGCAGGTAAATAACGGCCGAGTTTGCCTTCCGTCTTCAGCAGCGGGCCCGAGCAGAAAATGGCAAATGGAATGGCTAATGGCAGATGGCAAATGCAAGCCCTTTGGCTGGCGATGGAAAGTAAATTGTGGTGTACAAAGTCGACGGCTTCTTGGACGTGATTGGATTAAAGGCAAATCCCTTCGCCATATGACCAATTCTGGTTGCTCGGGCCCCGCGGACGCCGCGGCAGCCGCAGAGGCTTCGTCCTGCCAAGCTGCGTGGCTCCTGCCTTATCCTGCCGTTGTCGACTGCGGCCGCAGACCGAACCATGCCAAATAGAGACAAGCTCGGAGCACTTGAGGGTTTGGCGGAACGCCAACCGCTTCGGCGTGACTTGATGCAACGCAAGGACCACGCGAATCTCGTCAATCGACTTGCCATCTCCCATGCGAAGCTTGTTGCTTTGTATGACATGTTGCGCTTCTGAGTCTTCCGGCCCGCTACTCCTGCCCTTGACCCAGACCCGAGCATGACGGGTATCGCACGGCCAGACCCCCTGCCTGAGCTCGGCGGACTGGCGACTGACTTGACCAGGATGTGGCCGACTCATTGACGACAATCAGAGAACTTTAGAATATTCGGCACAGAGGACATGCGGGCCGGGCCAATTCATGTGGCGGATTCTGACTAGGCCAACTATTTCCTACTACGCCAGCAATTGCCTTTCCTGCTCCACCATGCCGACGACGCAAATCTTGTCTGATCCCGCTTCCTTGTATAATAAACAAATCTCCCTCCTTGACATGGCCTAGAGATCGGCGAGTCGTTCTGCACCACGGGCCTCCAATCAGCTTGACGGTGGCCGTCTTTCTCCTCAAGCTACGCAAGCCTGGCCATTACACAACATTTCTGGAAAGACACAGCCCACCCCGCAGCTGGTATATCGACTGTCGGAGCCGTCTCGGTCACGGAACAAAGGAGGAAATCTCCATGACGTGTTTGCCTCGAAGCCACCGAACTCGCCCTCTTCATACTAGTTTGAGATAAACTGTGTTACACCTGTCCTTGACCATATATCTACGCATGGGCGTCGAACAGAAAGAGGCGGCCAAAGTTGCCTCGCCGCTCCCCGGCAATTCCCGCGAGTCTACCACCACAACTCCCGAAGAAGCTGACCAACCCGACGTCAAACCCAATAAACAAGCCAGTGGAAGCTCAAGCTTCACATCTTTTCTCGTACGTCACTGCCAAGCATGTCCTACTCCAAGTCTAGCGTGGAAGTTGACGGGAAAACCTAGCGTGTCTTCACATACAACGATAAGCTAGGATGGCTCTTGAACGTCATCGCCTGCCTGGGCATGATAGGTGCAGGCGTAGTTCTTCCTCTGATGGACGTTGTGTTTGGAAAGTTTGTCAATACGTTTAACAACTTCGTTACCGGCAAGTTGTCGCCCGATGGGTACATGGACGAAGTTGGCCACTTTACGTAGGTTGATTCGTGCCCTTTTTATGCCACCTGTACTAATAGGGTCTTTCGCACAGGTTGTACTTTGTATATCTCTTTATTGCCAAATTTTGCTTGACCTTCCTTTGGACGGTTAGTTTCGAGACGTATCGCTGCCTTGGGGCCCCGGCACTGACTGATACAGGGCCTCGTCAATATTACTGCCATCCGCACAACCAAGGAACTTCGAGTCGACTTTGTGCGACAGACTCTGCGCCAGGAGATCTCCTTTTTCGACAGCCCTTCCTCATCGGTATCTGGCCAAATCACCACCAACGGAAATCTCGTCAACAACGGCATATCAGAGAAGCTTGGACTCATCATCCAGGCTCTCTCTATGTTTGTGGCTGCCTTTGTCGTTGCGTTTATAGTACAATGGAAATTGACACTCATCACACTAGCCATTGTGCCATTCAATGCCATAGTCACACTGGGCTCCATCTATGTAGATGCATTGTACGAGTATAGGATGTTCGATATATACGCCGAATCGGGGTCGCTTGCTGAAGAAGCTTTTGCCACCATCCGCACCGCCCACGCGTTCTGGGCCTTCCCCAAGCTTACCATGAGATTTGACCGGATATTAGAGAGGGCTCGACAGATTGGCAAGAAGAAGTCTCTGGTCTATGCTATCATGTTTCCCATTGAGTTCTTTAGTGTCATTGCAGGATATGCGTTAGCCTTTTGGCAAGGAATGAGGATGTATTCTGATGGCGAGATTCAAAATCCGGGCACAGTCGTTACGTGAGTCTTGAAATATCCATTCTGGTCATAATCTATTGCTAACCTATTGAAGCGTGATTTTTGCCGTCCTGGTGGCAGCCCAAGCTCTCACGCAAATTGCACCACAGACAATTGCCATTTCGAAAGCAATGGCTGCGGCTCAAGACCTCTTCGCCATTATTGACCGACAATCCGCGATCGACTCTCTTTCAGAGGGCGGAGAGACCATCGAGAATTTCAAGGGTGATATTAAACTTCGCAAAGTGCGCTTTGCGTATCCCTCCCGTCCCGGTGTTCCGGTATTGCATGGATTAGACTTGGATATTCCATCGGATAAGACTACCGCGCTGGTGGGTGCCAGTGGTTCCGGAAAGAGTACAATATTTGGGTTGCTAGAGCGTTGGTATACCTACTCTGCGGGAACCATTACACTTGACAATTCCAAGCTAGAAGATCTCAACCTGCGCTGGTTAAGGACCAATATTCGACTCGTTCAACAGGAGCCTACTCTTTTCAGTGGCACCATTTACCAGAATGTTGTAGATGGTCTTACGGGCACGGACAAGGAGGGTTTGCCTGACGAAGTGCGAAAACCTCTTGTGATTGAGGCCTGTAAAGCGGCCTTTGCTCACGACTTTATTGAGGATCTGCCAAGGGGGTATGACACGTGGATTGGCGAGAGGGGCGCGTCGTTGTCGGGCGGCCAGAAGCAGCGTATTGTCATTGCCCGCAGTATCATCTCCAACCCCAAGGTGCTCTTATTAGACGAGGCTACTAGTGCTCTCGACCCAAATGCCGAGAAAATTGTCCAGGCTGCACTGAACAATGTTGCCAAGGGCCGGACCATGGTTATTATTGCCCATCGATTATCGACGATTCGTGATGCGGATAACATTATCGTCATGTCCAAAGGCGAAACTGTCGAAAACGGAACACACTCAGAATTGATTGAAAGGGCAGGAGCGTATGCTCGGCTTGTTCGAGCCCAAGACCTGGGAAAGACGTCTGACTCTATGGGAGATGAGCCTGAGCATGACAAGGATGCGCGGGTAGTCGGCATGGAAAAAGAGCTCACACGGGCCTCGACGACGGGTACGATGCATGAGGAGACGAGGGCCAGAGGGAAGCATTACGGCCTACTACACGGACTAATATTAGTTCTTAAAGAGCAAAGGACTCTGTGGTGGCCGACGTTTGTTATTTTTCTGACCTGTGTTGCTGGAGGTAAACTATCCCCATTCAGTGCTTCGGCCTTCTCATGCTAATGTTCTTCTATAGGCGGTACCTATCCGGCACTTGCCGTCTTGTTCTCCAAGACGATGGAAGCTTTTGAAACGATTGACGTTGACAAGTGCAACTTTTTTGCTCTCATGTTCTTCGTTGTGGCCTTGGGAAACCTCGTGCTATATGCTGTTGCTGGGTGGTTGTCCAACATTGTTGCGCAGACTACCATGAAGTTTTACCGCGGCGAAATCTTCAACAACACGCTCCGTCAAGACATGCCATTCTTTGACAAACCCGAAAACGGAACAGGGGCTCTCGTGTCACGGTTGACATCAGAGCCCACCAGCCTCCAGGAGCTATTGTCAATGAACATCTCTCTCTTGGTCATCTGCATCGTAAACCTCGTGGCTAGTTGCATCCTCGCCATTATATCAGGCTGGAAGTTGGGATTGGTTCTGACCTTTGGAGCTCTTCCATTCATCGTGGGTTCGGGATATATGCGGATCCGACTAGAGTTCAAGTTTGAAGAAGACACCGTTGAGCGCTTCGCCAAGAGCAGCGCTGTGGCAGCTGAAGCAGTCATGGGGATCAGGACAGTCTCATCCCTTGCGCTCGAACGAGCCGTGATTGAGAGATACCGAGAGAAATTACAAGGTATTGCGCGCCATGCTATTGGCAGCCTTGGCTATAAAATGTTCTTCTATGCACTCAGCCAGTCTGTGTCCATGCTTGCCATGGGCCTGGGGTTCTGGTATGGCGGCAAGCTTGTGTCGACGGGCGAATACACGTCTGGTCAGTTTTATGTTATTTTTATCGCGATTGTCTTCTCAGGCGAGGCTGCCGCTATGCTATTCCAGTATACGACAAGCATTACCAAGGCCGGGACCGCCATCAATTATATTTTCCGGCTCCGTCGGGACCGAATTCTCTTTGATGATGGCGATGGCGACTGGCAACCCGAGGGTAATGGCACCATTGCCGAAAAGGAACTCGGTGGAAAGGGCACGGAAATGATCTTTGACAAAGTCCAGTTCTCGTATCCCTTACGGCCGAAGCAAAAGGTCCTCCGCGGCGTTGACGTGGCCATCAGGCCGGGCAAAATGGTGGCCTTTGTAGGGGCCTCTGGCTGTGGAAAGTCCACCATGATAGCGCTCCTGCAACGCTTTTACGATCCGACAAGCGGCGAGCTCCGTGCCAACGGTCGAGATGTGAAGAGCCTCAATCGGTGCAGGTACCGTCGCGACATGGCACTTGTTCAGCAAGAACCCGTGCTCTACCAGGGGTCCATACGAGAAAATATCTCGCTGGGCATTGAAAAGGGCAATCCGTCAGAAGCACAAATCATTGAGGCTTGCAAGAGCGCCAATGTATGGGACTTTGTCTCGTCCTTGCCAGAAGGCCTTGATACGGCATGCGGCAACCAGGGTCTGTCGCTGTCGGGTGGCCAACGCCAGCGGATTGCCATTGCACGAGCCTTGATTCGCAGGCCCCGATTACTGTTGCTCGACGAGGCCACAAGTGCCCTGGACACTGAATCGGAAAAGGTTGTGAAGGAGGCGTTGGATCGTGCGGCCGAGGGCAGAACGACTATTGCAGTTGCCCATCGACTAAGCACGATTCGCGATGCCGATGTGATTGCCGTGTTTGCCAAGGGGAATATAGTGGAATTGGGGACTCACGACGAACTGGTGGATAAGAAGGGCATGTACTATGAGATGGTGCTGGGGCAGTCGTTGGATCGGGAGTCTTGATAGGCTTGTGGCACAATGTATACTATTATAGACGGGTTGTAAGCGGCCAACTTGTGTTTGGAAGGAGGCGTCGAGTGTATCCCCGGCGGATACTACGCCATGTATGGCGCTTGGTCTGTATCGTTGCTTCTTCGCGACGAGGTCACTACTCCGTGTACATTGGAAACGAAAATACCAACACTACTCCTCACAAACGTTGCGTTGCTAGCAGCTGATTCCGAGTAGGATGAGGCCGTGCCAGAGAGGATATTGGCTTGTTATGTGTTCCTTTACTGATTCAGAATCGAGCGAAGGCAGCCGATTTGGAAACACGTCGGTTGGTGTAGTCCACCAACACATTTGCAACTCTCTAAAGGTACACCGCCCGACCACTCCGCTGTATTCGAATGCGTCTGGCCCTGGCGGTTGAGCGCGAGGCTTGCCAAGCCCGAGGCAAGGTGAAGTTTCATGTAGTAGCGTTATCAGCATCGGTGTCAGTGGGTGTCAAAGGCTACGCACAGATAGAGAGAGTGAGTCAAGATGTGCATACACGCTTAGAGGGGAAGCCAACGAGACAAGTGGCTTGAAGCGTTCACTGCGGCGTTGCAATTGAATGGTATAGAGTCTGAGATATGTCCCTTGGCCTTGCAGTTTGCAGTCACAAGTATTTGATTGTTGAGTGCTGCCGAAGGGATCGAACACTTAGAAGCCCTCACTCTGCATCGAAAGTAAATTCTTGGATGCTTTGCGACGGGGATGTACCATGTCTCTTGTCGGGTAGGAGCATGTCGGCTTGGTGACGATATTACCCGGCTAGATCGTAGCAGTTGATTAGCTTTGAGTTGAAAATAGTAGATAAGCTTCTGTTGAGTCAACGAGGCGATAATTGAAGGCCCGAAGGCACGAATCACGATATTTGCTTTTTCTAGGGTCTTGTTCAAGATGAGGACTAGGATGAGACCCGGGGTCATCACAGGGGTTTTCAGGGGCTCCAACAGGGTATTAAAGGGTCAGTCAATTTCCCGGGTTTTCAGTGCCTGTATTCGGGTCGTTCAGACACCACTAATGTTATCTTTTTGCTCATGAATGCGCCTCAATCCACTTTGTAAATTGCTGTTGAAAACTCAACAGCTTCACGGCTTTCCCTGCCGGAATGTCCGGGAAGGAATGTCGCGTGGTAACACAAGTTGAATACGACGTGATTCAAGGGCAGATGGAGAAACCAGGCGACACGATGAAAGACGAACTGTACATCTGGCAGAGTCTCTTCTCAGAGACCGCGCGCCCGTGACGCCCGTGACGCCCGTGGTGCAGTCTATACAAGACGTGGTCCGTCCCGTCCTTGTTTTCGGAACACCATTTATTTGTAACGTTGTCTTCACTTTGCGCACACTATTACTGGAAATCACCATGATTCCATTTAGATTCGATGATGCATCGCCAGCATAGGCCCGGTTACCCGGAAAACCCAAAGCGCTATACCTCGCGGTGGCTAACTGGGTGCTTGGCTGGGGGTTTGAATAACTTTGGGAGTTGAAATGCTTATCGCATGATTCAAGTGCCCAAGTCCTAAGAAAGATGCCTCTGTGAATCTGTGAATTCAACTGTGTCAATGACATGTCTTTGTACAGGAAATTTTACCTCCCATTGCAACCGTTATTGGCAGAGTGATGATGTATCAAAAGATAATTGCCAACTGCGTACTAAGCTGTTACTTCATAACTGTCCCCCAGACGTTTCATGACTCATGAGCAAGAGGCAAACTCAACCAGGGTGCGCCAATCAGAATCAGGTGCTGGAAAAAAAAAGAATCAAACGGCACAAACACGGCATCAGGCAGATTATAAACAAAAAAGGTACGTAGCTAAAGTAAAATACTTGGCTTGATATAAATGACTATTCCTGGAATATGTGCTATAAGAAACGCTTTCCATCCCCCACAACAGCGACAACCGGTATGTGACTAAAATCCTCATCGACTACATATGTACTGATGCAGTTTTCTTTCGACCATGCTACAGGCCATCCCGCGATTGAAGAGACAGACCAACCTGGACGACCCTCATGGTCCGCTCCGCCGCAGAGGTGAGCAGGCTCGCCGTCTGCTGTATAGCATCGTCCAAGCTCAGCGGAGAGTCTAGGATACTCGAAAAGGCCGAGAACCCATCCTCATAGACGCTATTTGCGCCCGTGCTAATTGTGCCCACCAAGGCAATCACACATGCCCCCTGCGCCCTCGCTTTCCGCGCAACTTCGCCCGTCATCTTCCCCTTTGTGGACTGGGAGTCGAGCGCGCCCTCGGCCGTAAAGACAATGTCCCAGCGAGAGTCGAGCGTCTGCTGCAGCTGGAAATATTCATCGATGGCAGCCACTCGCGGCCGGAGACGGGCGCCGAGCAGAAGGAGGCCGGCGCCGAGGCCGCCGGACGCGCCACCACCGGGGGCGCTCGACATGTCGTATCCGAGGAGGGGGGCTGCCACACGGGCAAGATTGTCCATGGCTCGCGACAAGACGTTCACCTGGGCGGGTGTTGCGCCCTTTTGCGGCCCGTAGACGCGGGCGACGCCGTTGCTGCCGCAGAGGATGTTCTTGATGTTGCACACGGCTTCCATCTCGATGGCCTGCCCGCCTTTACACGGCGTGTGTGAGCATCGGGAGGTCCGTTTCCGGTTCTCGGTAGGGAAGGTGCTTACCTGAGCGGGAATCGAGGAGGCGCGGATGAAGGCCGTCTAGGCAGATGCTGCGCAGGTGTATCAGAGAGCCGCCGCCCGCGGCCGTGGGCAACTCTTGATCGTTGTCGTCGAGCAGCCGGGCCCCGAGCGCCTGGAGCATGCCGGCGCCGCCGTCCGAGGTGCCGGAGTCTCCGCACCCGATGATGATTTTGGTGCAGCCCTCGTCGAGAGCGGCGGCTATGAGCTGGCCGACGCCGTATGACGTCGTGGCCGTCGGGTCCCGGCAGTCTCGGCGGACGAGCCGCAAGCCGGCTGCGCTCGCCATGTCCAGGACGGCGGTGCGCTTGTCCTCGCCGATGACGCCGTAGTGCGAGGGAATGGGCGTCTTGTGCGGTCCCAGCACCGTCATGGGACGAATTTCGCCCCCCTTGGCGGCGACGAGGGCGTTGCAGAAGCCTTCGCCGCCATCGTGGACGGGCATCCGGCGGACAATGGACGTTGCGTTGTCCAGTACTCGCCTGATGCCCTTTTCGATGCAGGCGGCGGCTTCGTCTGGCTCGAGGCTTTCTTTAAAGCCCGAGGGTGCAATGAGGATGCGAAGAGGCTTCATGGTGGCCATTTGATTGTGCTGAACTCCGATGCGTGGGAAACTGACCGGGACATGATCTACATTCAGGGGCCGCATAACACAGATATATACATGGAAATTAGGCCACGTCTCAGCGTGATGCCATGGACCCGGATGGGAAGAGAGACGGCGCCGTACCGACTCTGCCACCGCCATGTGCATTGATGACGAAATCTGGCATCTACACGGTGTTCCTGGCCTGCTTGTGCACGTTTATTTCCAGCTTCAACCGGATGTGCGGAACAGGGAAACTAGAGACTGTATCGCCACGACGGGATACGGCCCCGACTTCAGGCGCAGCGCTTGCTGTCTACAAGGCAGATTGTCGAGGCTGTGACAAGGTGTCTCTGATGGCTTGCAAAGCACGCATGAATACTTGCCAGATTAGATTCAACTTGGTGATGGATATCCACACCCGTGGGCCGTTGGTGTGTTGCAATACATACATGAACGTGTTTCCGTGGACGGGCCTTAATCAAGTCCTCTGGCAGTGCAGCATCTCGGCGTTGAAAATGGACTGATTTAGAACACGTTGGAGCGCTAGCAAGTCCACAAGACGCCAATTTCCCGACCCAATGCGGCATTATAGGGGTAAGGGTATAGTAGTGAGGTCTGATGGTGTTATCTGCAAAGTTTGGCCCGGACAAAAGAACTTGTTGTTTTGGGCCGTGACGCTCTCGAGCCCTGATCCTGGCCCCGGGTCGAAAAAACATGGAGTGGTGACGGCCAGGAAAATTTCGAGCCCACGAATGAACTGCCTGTTGATGGGTATAGACGGCATCCATTAATGATTCTCATCATATAACTACATGTATGACATGACGACGCTGGGTATACTCTAGAGCATCTCTGGCATGGCCCAGTTTCGCATCGACTGAGGTTTAATTTTGGCCGCATGAGGAAAGCGGCTTGGCCCAGCTGCGCCGTACCGAGTCCCCGTACTGGACTAAAGATAGAAACCGCAGCAGGACGTCGGATCGGATCATGATCGGAGGTTGGCCGGGACGTTGCATCCTGTGCTGCTGCTGGACGCACCGCACCGTCATGGCCATCCATCCCATCCTATCCCGTCTGGGGAACCGCGAGCGTCGAGCGTCGAGCGTCGAGCGTGTGGACGTGTGGTCTGGTTAAAGTTGGGCCCGGCCTCGATGACCACGCGACCACTTGCCTGATGCAGCCGGGAATATCATGTTTGCGTTGTGGCGCAAGGGCCGATCGCCGCGTCACTCATGCAGCTTCTCTCCTTCTCCACGGCGACTCCACGTCGTCGCGGAGCCAGGGACCCAGTCAACAAGCATAAAGATAGTCCTAAAGATAAAGCCCCGTGAGCTGGTTGGCTGGCCCCGTCCAACGATGCCATGGAATGGTGCGCCGAGCCGGTTTGAGGCCATTTTGCGCTGCCTCGGACAGGACGGGCCAAAAATATCTCCCCCAGCCCCAGGCCAAGTGTGCCTTGCAGGGCTGAACTCTCCCGCAGCCCGCTTCGACATGTGTTGAAACTTTGCAAACCAGCATCCTTTGCGTTTTGGAATTCCAAAAATACCAGCGCCGGCGGACGGTGAACTTCCGGCCATGGCGGCTGTTATAATCCTGCGACGCGGCGTCGACGTTTCGTCCGAGCCAGCCATGTTGGCAAGTCACACCGCTCCCTTTGCTTCCCTAACCTCCAAAATAGAGTGCCTTGATCGACATGAAGCGCGGCTCGTGCCCCCCGTCGCCTCCTGTTCCCCTGCTGAGCGCCTACGCGTGCGACATGGCCGCGTCGGACTCGGCATCGCATGACGTCGAGGCCTACCACGCCGCCGGGCCCGACTTCAAGCTCGACACTGACGATCCCATCGTGGTGTCGTGGGACGGGCCGCACGATCCGGAAAACCCCAAGAACTGGAAGGCAGGCCGCAAATGGGGCATCACCATTCTGGTCTCGTGCTTCACCTTCATCTCGCCCTTCTCGTCGACCATGGTGACGCCGGCCATGGACGTCATCGCCCGCGACCTCCAGGTCCCCGCGGGCTTCATGCAGCAGCTCGTCATGACCATCTTCCTGCTCGGCTTCGCCCAAGGACCGTTCGTCCTGGCGCCGCTGTCCGAGATCTTTGGCCGCGCCATTGTGCTCCAGCTTTCCAATGTCATGTACTTGGTGTTTAACCTGGCGTGCGGGTTTGCCCAGACAAAGGAGCAGATGCTTGCGTTTCGCTTCCTGAGCGGCGTGGGCGGGAGCGCGCCCCAGGCTGTACGTTGGACGTGACTTGAACAAACTAAAGACGATGTGCTGACTCGACGGGCAGATATGCAACGGCATCCTGGCCGACTGCTGGCGCAAGGAAGAGCGCGGCAAGGGCCAGGCCATCTACGGGCTGCTCACGTTTCTGGGACCGGTGCTCGCGCCTATTCTGGGGGCGTACGTGTCCATATACACGACCTGGCGCTGGATATTTTGGTCGACGTCTGCTTTCGACCTCGTCGTCCAAGTCGCTGCCCTGTTCTTCCTGAGGGAGACGTACGGCCCTAGGATCCTCTTGCAAAAGGCGAGGCGCCTGACCAGGGAGACTGGCCGGAGGCATGTCACGGAGGAGAACCGGCCCTTGTCCCAAGTGCTCCGGCGTCGCATCTTGGTACCGTTCATCATGTTGTTTGCCCATCCTGCCGTGCAAGTACCGTCTTTGTATCGGGCGTATCTATATGGCGTCATGTATCTGGTGTAAGTAGAGCGCAACAGACTCGCAGACATTTCTCATCACCCACAGCTAACAATGGAGGCGATAGACTGCACACATTTCCTCTTGTATGGGTAGGCACGTATGGCATGGCCAAGGGCCCCGCGAGCTTGAACTACCTGTCTCTTGGTATAGGATTCATCATTGGGCTTCAAATCTCGCACCCGTTGATTGACAAGGTTTGCAAATCATTCCCAAATCAAGGCGTCCTGTGGCCATGATGCTGACTCTGCGTGACCAGCTCTACGTCAAGTTTCAAACCAAGTACGGCCACGAGGATGGCCTGCCCGAGTGGCGCGTCCCGCCCATGATTATCGGCGCCGTGCTCTGTCCCGTCGGCCTGTTCGTGTATGGATGGACGGCACAGGCAGGGGCACACTGGATATTGCCCAATATCGGCTGCGTGATACTTGCCACGGGGCTCATCATTGCTTTCCAGAGCGCCCAGGCATACGTGGTGGATGCGTACAACGAGCACTACGCAGCGAGCGCCGCCGCCGCCGGTGCCTTTGTCCGTACAATGTTTGGCTTTAGCTTTCCCTTGTTTGCGCCGAAAATGTACCAGGCTCTCGGCCTTGGATGGGGGAACTCCCTTCTTGCCTTCACCACCATTGGCATTGGCGTAGTCAGCCCCGGGCTGCTCTGGTTCTACGGACACAAGCTGCGGGAGTGGAGTGGAATGGGAATGAGATAGGCACTGGCTTTGCTTTCCACAGATGCCGGCGGTGGATGCGAGTTGGAGGCTGTTGTTGATTTCTCGCCATGTCGGACGCGGCACGGCATGGCGCATCATGTTTGCCTGGCGAAAAGGAGTGTATTGGTCACATTGTATCAACTGCCTATTTGACATCATGTAGTTGGATGCTTCTCTCCCCGTGCCGTATTCTCATGTGCCGATCGAGGCTGTCCTTGCGTGACGTGCCGTCACTGGCCAACTTGTACTTGCACCCAGCCACCGAGCAGTACCACCTCGTCTGAGCCAACGGCCGTCTATGGACGGAATTGACGTGACGTTAAAGTCCTGCGTTCTGGCTAAAGGCCCTTGTGCAGCTGGCCACGCAACACTTGAATGGGCGGGTATGCTGCTTGAGGTGCCGACTATTTTGACCGTGTCAACGACGGGCTGGAGAGCGCGCAACGCAGAGCAACTTACGTCAGTGACCGTCTGGAAAAGACTTCCCAGCACTCTGGGCACTGGAAGAGACTTGAAACAGCCGAGTTTTGTTGTAAATGGTGGTCAGATCGCCGTTGCAGGTTTTGGAGGGCATTCGCGAGCCTAGATGTTTCTTCGCCTACTTCGTCCTGTCCAGCAGGCTCGACAGGGCTTGACACTGCCTCATTATACTCTTCGAGCGGACCGCCGTTTCCCCGGACCACCCAGCTAGGATCCACATATTGGATAGATCGGTTTTCGTGATGATGATGTAGTTGATCAGATCCAGATGGCTCCGCTGGAGTTTGAACGGAAATTAGAGGCCGACCCGGTTAAAAAGGACAATGGGATAAAAGAAGCCTGCAGGAGAGTGTCAACGGAGCAGAGAAGACAAGTACGATGGCTGCGCGAAATGCAAAGTCGTCGGGGGGCAACGAATGTACGGTAAGCGGAAACCTGTAAGAACTGTGTGCGGTGAGACCGACAGGGCCGCCCGTGAGAGAAGGAAGAAAGGACCAGATGATGGGCGCGGATTCTTGACTGCTTTATATTTATACTTTTCCGGGGCGAGCTTCGCATTGGCTCCCACCCCTCAGCGGTATGCCACAAAATCTGCGAGGCGTCCATGGCTGCAAACCGACTCATCGAGCCAATCATCTCTAACTGGCTTCATTGGGGCTTTTATCAGGTTATTATGGCAGATGGGTATAAAGAGACAACATTGGGAGACTTGAATTTCTCGAGATCGGTATCCTCAGTCTCCAATCAGCGTCCTGTGTAAATGCCAACTCTTACACGTATAATTCCAAGTCCCCTGATATAAAATCGTTGCACTCACATCCAACAGCTACCAAGAATGTCGTTGGTAATATTTTGCTGCAATTCAATCAGTCCTTACCGCCCCCAATATCTTTCTCACCAGGGCATGTTTACTTCTTTCATGTCGTGGGCTGCCTTCCCGAGGCAATCCGCACGGGACTCGACGGGTGAAACAAAGACCGACCTCGTCCACCTCGCGCCCCCGTTTGCCGTTCAGCTCGTCAGGCAGAAAAACTATGGTCCGCTTGAATCCAAAAAGTATTTCATCCCAGTCCAGGGCACTACTGGCGACTTTGTCGAGGTGGTCGAGGATGACTTGATTCAAGCCAATTTCCAGAAACTCAACACGTAGGCATGCCCACAAGCGCAATTCTTTGTCTGAATTCTAAATAATGGGATCAAGGTACAAGAACTACAAGTGCGAGGTTCACGACAAATTCTACGAGGTCAACATTTATCAGAAGGACCCGGTGAATAAGCATCACTGGCGGGCGACGTTGGCGAGACCGGCTCGTGATATTGACCTAGGCCAATGAGGTGAACATCCCCAAGTAGGACCTGGCACTGTATCGGGTCATTGGATTATCGCAGCCGTAACAATCTTGCACTCGCAAAGGAGTTGAGGAGAATACGGAGCCCTAATACTGAGCGCCCTCGCTGGAAAAACAAATTGTTGGGGTCTGATTACTTTTGATCATGTAAACTACAGGGCCTGATTATTAACGCTAGTCGAGCGGCAATAACGACACCTATTATACATTATATGTGCAATTTGTTTGTTTCCCTAGCTGGGAGAGCAAGAATGATACAGTCGCGTGCTCTATGCATGTCTCCAGCTTGCTTCCTCCTTCTTCACCCTCAGCCTTAGATAGATGATCTGATAATAACCTGCATGTACCAGATGATGGTTGTGTATTCAGCTGTCGTGCAATGATTTCGTTGGGCTGATCTCCTGCGACAAGGGCTCGAAGAGGGCTTGGAGCAATAGCTCAATTCAGCTAATAACAGTCTTTGGTGTATTATAAGTTTTATAGTAAACTTATATAAAAGTTTTAGCGGTCCTTATAACTATTAATAGTAAAAGTCTAAATAAGCTATTTAGTTTATTTTATTATTAACTAAATTATTATAGTTTTTATATATAACTTCTTAGAGCTTTTAGGGTTTCTGCTACACTAAGGAACTTTATATATATATTAATAGCCTAACTCTTATTACTCCGACCTTACCTTACTATAATTAACCTATTACATTGCTTACTTTATCTAGTATTCACGATAAATCTGGGGGCGTCTGGGCTGTTGCATTTTCGCCAGATAGCAAGCTAGTCGCGTCCGTAACTCGGAGGATCCCAGGAGAGATTAGGCTTTGGGATGTTGGTACGGGAACATTGCACTGTGTTCCTTTGGGCTACTCGGATGCGGTTTAGAGGGCTATATTCTCGCCAGACAGCAAGCTGGTAGCATCTGCATCTAACGATAAGACAGCTAGGCTCTGGGACTGCACTAAGAAAACAGGCAGAAATATCTCTTGGATTACTTTAGATAGAAAGTCTTGTTGCCCCTCAGTCGCACAAGGCACTCGCCGCGTTCGCCGATTCATTACTATAAGTGCCTCCCACGTGTAATTTTCCACCAGCCGCTGGGCTAGATTCCTAGTGTCACGGTATAAGACTTAATTGTCAACCAAAGGCCTCTGACTTCTAGGGAAATAAGGAAGTGAAAATCTTAGCCGTGATGAGGCTCGCATACCCTCCCACGATTAAAGCGTCGAGCATCCTGTCTATTCCAGCAATGCGGCCGATGAAGACGGCTACGGCAATTGCTATCAGGCCACAGTTGGCCCAGTATCTCTGTCCCTGCATGATATTGACCAGTCCTACTGCGCAGTAAACAATAACGCAGAGGGCGTATATAATAGTTGTTTGCGCGCTGGACGCACGTACGCTGATATCTGCACCCCCACGATTTACCTCTCCTGGCTGCTTTATAGCTGTAGATGGCACAAGTCAGCGTCAAGTATTGTGAATATTCACTTCACCCTTGTTTCTTAGCCTGCGAGCTTACCTGGATTACGGAGGAAAATCATGATTGCGGTCGCGAACCCAGCGCAGATAACACCAACAGAGGCAAGGCCTTGTCTGTTTAACAGCGAGCCGGCTGCCGGCTGATTGCGCTCCTTGTCTATCCAGACATGACGGTCGGCATGAGCTGGGACTTCTGGTCCGTCCATGGTTGAGTTGCGGTCTTTGGGGATTTCTTGGACGCTCGTGAGAAGAGGCGAGGTTTTCTCCTAGTGGCCGTTCTACTAGCGCAGTCTCCTCTAGGGACAATGTACCTGGGGAAGATGGCGAGATTCCTCCGTGGTAACTCCAACAACTTGGGAAAACTTGACGTAACGAAACGCATTGTCGACGAATGAGATTGGTGTAAAGGAGTCACGCGGGGCTAACTGGTTGACATGCGGCTAGGCAAGCTTGTGGGGCAACCCCACAGAAAGCGAAGTACCGGCTGGGGTAGGGTATTCACGGCCTGCAAGCAGTGCTGTCCAAGATAGCATATTCGGAATCGCTTTTATACTCGACCGATCAAAACGCCCTGCGTTCTTGTCCCTGGCAAGTATAGCCAATTCTGTCAAACAGAGCAGACCAACTCATTCTGTACATACCCGCAGGCAACTTGACATTCACACTGCCCGCAATGGCTCCAGACATGGGCGCCTACTGTCCCTCGATCGTCCTCGCGATTCAAAGCCTTGTCGAGCGGATGTCTGAGGAATGGACCGCTGCCCTGCGCGGGTCGGGCAATTCCAACTCTCGGACCGGCTTCCTAGCCTACTCGATCGACGACTCTGTCGACTTGGAAACGGCCAATCCCACTGTCAAACCTGACGTCCGCCTACCGAGTAGTTGGTTCATCTTCCAGACTGACCTGTACGCTCGTGGCGCTCATGGCTCGCACGGCGACGAGGTCACGTACGATTTCCTCTGGCGTCACGAGCGCACGTCTGGCCTGACGGTAAGTCCAAAAGTGTTGAAGACTGGAACATGACAGTACAGTTGATAGAATCTGTGGGATTAAGCTAAAACAACATTGAAGAATAAAAAGAAATAAGCACAGACAAAAAAAGGGGAATCACGGTGGGGCACATCATAGTTTCGCGATGCTGACAGGGGTATATCTACTTTAGGAGCCTTGGGACCAAAGCTGTTCCATGCACCTCGATGCAGCCATGGTCTCTCGTTTACCGATTGGGTCCAGGTATCGACGCTGGGCGGCAATGTGGCTGTTGTGTCTCGGTGCTGCAGACATCTGTTTTGGCCCTGCAGCCGCAAAAGCTTTGGACCCCAAGAAGCTCATCACAGCCGCGTGCGCCGTTATATCTGCGGGGTCGGAGCTGTGTCTGGTCAACTTTCAACTCGACGATCCGCCGACCGTGTCAGCATCGTGTGTGATGAGGTGACTACTTTAACTTGCCCCGCCCGCCATGCAGCAGCAATGGCTAACTTTTTTTTCTTTTCAAATAGCCTCCGCATATGTTGCTCGCTCTGTCTGCTATCTTATTTATGCTTCTTCTTCCTCTTTTTTACTCGCAACAGCTGGGAAAGAGGCAAGTTGATCTCGGGAGTTATTTCTCTCTTTATTCTGACCGGACCCTTCATGTCCGACTTCCCCATCCATTGGATGGATCTCCTCAACCTCCGGTGCCTGGTTGCGTCGGTCGCTTGTGGAATTGGACACCACGAGGCCGTCCTTCAGGGCATCCGGATGGGGCTCGAACAGCCCGATTTAGAGAGGGGCAAGCAGGGCGATTGCGACAATGACGACCCGACGCTGTCTGAACAGGCCGCCCCTGTGGATGGGGCTCGGCCACCGGCTGGCTGACGACATGGACGAGGAGGACAGAAGGGTGAGGGAATAGAGTAGATCTGGAGCCCTTGCCACTACAAATGGGCGGCGACGCCCACATACCCGGGTTGACAAGGAGTTTGGTGAAAGGTTTATTAGAGATGGCTTTGGCGTTGCCGGAATGTCGTATGTTTGGCTGCTTGTTTTGTCTGTGCAATTTCAAGAGTGACCAGCAAATTGTTTCTTCAAGGCCACTACGCTGCCGTACTATATTCTTTGAATTACAATAGATGATTGATCTTTTTGTACAGCCTCGTCTGAGCATTGCATCGGGTAGAAACTGCCATTGACCCTTTGATTCACCTCGCCTTCGCCAAGGCCAAGGCTTGGCTTGTATCTCCATTCTCAACAGAAAGGTGGCCCATTTCGCCGATACATTGTTGCCGCTAGACCGCAGAGAGATTAGAAATTATTTGCCGCCGGTTATTTATAGCAAATTTCGCGACGAAATTTCACTATGAGATGCTATGAGAAGATAAATTACTATATTATGTGTCCTTAGGCCCGATTTACTTTATGTCTTGCGCCCTTAATCCCGATATTAAATAAGCCTGCCCGACAATAAGCAACCCTATCCTAGACTACCGCGGTGTGCTTGACCTTGATCCTGAGCACTTCTAGAAGCAAGTCCTCTTTATACTACTAAGTATCTTACTGCTAAACTTTAAGATTTAGGCTTATTTTAACGTTATTTAGAATTAAAAGAGATGGACATAATGGGACAAGTTTTGTCGCTCCCGCAGCTGAGTGGAGCGATGACTGACTTGGAAGAAGCATTTAATATAGGTGAACTAGATACAGCCGTCAAGAAGTGGGCAACAGTGATATTAATAGAAGATAGCAGCACAGGGACCCATGAAACTAATAGGTTATAATAACCCAACTACTTTCCCTCCTTACGCTTAAGTATATAACTTTTTCTTATGCTCTGTCTAGTTTACCCCTAGTTCAGCAATTCCTAAACTTCCGCACTAAAATCAGCTACTAAGAAGCTGCTACTCCAGCTTCTGAATCTGCTCTCACGTTAAGACATTTAAACTCCTCACAAACCACTATATCATGTCAAGCTTTCGTTCCTCAAGGCTCCTCTGGGCAGGCCGCCCACGGTTTGGTCTCCTGTTGGACCAATCAGAACCTCTAAAACTTATCCGCACTAAACCCTTATTATTCGGGAAAACTTAAGAACTGATGTATTCACAGCTTTCGGCTAAATAATAATTCTCATAACGGAATAATATTATATGAAAACAGTAGAACAGTTTGATTGAGTCTACCTAGCCAGCTAATAAGATCATTTTTATAAATAGTAAGAGACTTCGCACAAGCCGGCCCGTCAGGTAAGCCACTCTATAGTTGTAAACGCACTTAGGACTGAATGAAGAAGGCCTTGTATTTTGAGTGTCATCTGAATATAGCCTCATTCAAGTCTAGCTTGCGCCCGCGTGAAATGGGTACTTAACGCTGGGGATGTTAGCTGCTGTACCACGCTTGATAAGGTGATAACACTTACCCCTAGTCTAGAAAGCAAGTCAAAGTCACTGGAATCGATTCTTATCCCAGTTCCAAGATGATTTTATTATTGCCGCTTGGTTCAAACGGATTAAAAAAAATAATCGTCATCAAAAGGAAGGAGAGCGCTTGGACTAAGAGTATCACCGCCAGGAAAGTTGGGACGCAAGAGATTGCTTGGACTAAGAGTATCATCGCCAGAAAAGTTGGGAAGCAAGAGATTGTTCGTATCAGGACCATTCGACACAATGGGAGCAGGACCGTCGAACTGATGATTGCGAACCTCGAGCGGCGCAGCCGCAACCAGACGAACGAATAAAATGGCTAGGGTAACTGTGAGCTTCATTTTAAAGTGGAGGCTTGATAATAAGATCTTGGTAAGTAGAGAGTAGTAGAAGAAGTTGATAGTAGTGGGATGCAAATATGTATTTCTATCTAAGGCTGTCCTTGGCTTTATATAACTACCTTTTTTTCAAAGAGACTTCGATTCTAGAATTTTGCAGAAACTTGAGGATTACGTATCAAGGCAGAGCCATTACTCAATCTCGAAACATTTATTAATTAATAAGAAACTGCTATGTAGGCGGAGCTCCCGAATTTTATGCGCAACCCCTGGGAATACCTTGTTGCTGTGGTGATAAACTCCCGATATATTCGGCCGCGTTGCATAGTAAGTGAGCGGGAAGCTCCTCATGCCAACAGCATTTGTCGAGACATTAGTGCGGCAGTAGATACTATTCCTGACGTATATAGTACACTAAGCTGACTCGTTACGAGACCAGTTGACTTCGAATATTACCAGTACGGTTCGCAGTCCCAACCGCACGAACACTGCGAGAAAGTGGATCGATGTGTTTCAATAATGCAATAGTTCTTGGCATTGGGAGCGTTACCAGCGTGTGGCGTGGAACTGAAACCGTAAATCCCGGGATTAGTTGCCTAGGAACCTTTTGAACCCTGGAGAATACACGCTGCCGAAAATGCGCCGTCATCTTCGGTGCCGACAGCGGCGTAGCAATTACTAGGCAATCCGTTTTAAGTCCCTGCCGAAAACCTATTCGGAATCGACTCAGGTTATCCGAACGTAATATATGTGAAGGTATCAGGGGCACGAACAAGGTCAAGTGCGACTTGAATACAGCGATTATTTACACGGAGAGTAAGAGATTTGTTTGGAAGCTTTGGAAGCTCTGGCCAAGATACCTGTTAAAAGCGTACACTACAAGTCGAGGGGAAAACGAATCGCCAACTCATTCACCACCAAGCTTCCACTCGATATATATCTACCCTATACACTCTATCACACTCATTGCGGTCAGTTAATGCGGTCAATCGGACAAGTTGCCGCCTTGACTATGACCCACTCGACGAGAAACAACGGCTCGGAACCGGAACAGGAACAAAGGTCGGAAAACGTTGCCACCGCCGAAGTGGCAACGGAAACCAGGGAAAGCCGCACCGTGTAAAAGCAAAATAGTCAAGTTGAGTTGAACATAATTTACACTTTGTGCGAGGAAAAGCCACACGTAATAAGGAACGGTAAACAATAAATAACAATATAAACACAGCAGCCACAAGACCAAAGAGGTTGAGGTTCTGAAAGCTTTAAAAAGCTAGTTGTATAATTGTATGGACCGTGACGAGGCACATGACCAGCTCCTGAGGCGACGTTACTAGTTGAGATAATGCAGTAATATTACTCTTCCAGCAAGCTAGACCAGCTCATGCCAAGATGGAAAACTTGTTCCCATCTTTGGGCTATTACTGGTGAACTGAAAGGCTTGGCCCTGCAGTTTTTCTGGGCGAACCTAGTATACGCTTTACTGGCCTGTTTATATAGCCTGTACTAGAATTATTATACGTTGTTATTTCTCAAGTATAAAAAAAAGCCTCTTCTATTATGTTTGGGACGCCTGTTGGCCTGAGTCGATTCGCATACAAACAAGTTAAGCTGGAATAGGAAGGAGGGATCAGGAGACTGGAATGTGCAACGCTCCGGCGCTTCAAAATTCTCGCTCGCTTTGCCTACCCCTTGGATAACTCGTTCGTTGACATCAGGGTCTTGTAGCTACTGTTGATCGGACTTGCTCTCCCACCGAGTCTGTCTGTTGGTAGTCGTGTGCAGCAAATTCAGTATTCATATCATTGAATAACGCTTGATTCAATTAGACTTTCAGGAATATATTAGTAGCATGGCCAACTGCTAGTTGGTTAAATGCGCAATGCGCATAAAATATGGCGCTTTTCAACCTGTTTCACAGGTAGAGAAAAATGCATACGCTTATTATGCAGTTGTAATCGAGCTGTGAGCCTAGTTTGCCACGTGCTATGTTGCTATGGCCTTGCGAAATTTCTAAGCGCAGGCGTTAACCGTTAACGAGCAAGTTTTCCATCGTAACTATTTATTACTATCTACGAGTAGATTCTCCTGCCCTTATTTATATGGACTGGAGGTAGATGTAATAGGGTATAAAGACTAGAACAACCTCTCTGGGCTATTTTACAACGCCTCGGTAACGTATTGCGCGGCCTCTTACGTAGCTCACTTTCTCGGCTTCATTACGTAAAAAGCCCTCGGTACGTCGGCCTCGGTCTCTCCTCATTTATTTTGAGCTCTGTCTTCTCTACATCCATCGATGGGGCAGTCGAGGGGCTGACTGGAGCTTTGGCGCCTTTAAAAGACGCTTTCGATGCTGTCGAATCCATTGGTGAGTTGACATCACTAGACGTCTCTGCTTCCACACTGCATCAAATTCTGCTGTTCTCCCTCGAGTCCTTCCAGGCCATTTTTGACACGATGGCAGGGCAGGGCAGGGTGGGTTTGGTCTGGTGATCTCGGTGTTTCTTGATGAAAATGAAGTTAAGCGAAAGGACCTTGAATCAGCGCTTCGAGGACGAGTGGCTCTCGAGGTAAAGGGGGGAGCCCCCCTCGCGTTCAAATTCTCCGACACGCAAGGGAAAATATTTCCATGAAAATAGTAGTGAGACCCACTGAATAAATGGCATGTTGGCGATGCGGTTCGTGTATGTATTGCTATAGCGAGACCTGATAAGGGCGTGTCTCGGCTAAATGTTTGATGCTGCTCAGCTTTCCATGCATTCGAATTACACAGCTTTACTTTACTCGATTAGTGCTAAGGCTGAGCTTGCCATGGCGGCTCTTTTTCTTCAGGTTATGTGAAAATGCTAACAGAAAGCATCACAACACCTTGCAAGGCAGGCAAAAAAGAAGGGACGCATGTTCACAAGTGCTGCTCTCATTGACTCGATAAGGTCTCAATGCCCGCCGGGAAAAGGAAACAGGCACTTTGCCAAGGTCTTACCCAAGAATATCTTATTCAGGCTTACAAATATAACAGGCTAGTTCGTGTAGATTTGGATATCTGCCCATTCCCCAGCTCTGACATGTCATGAACGCATACATCCATCTCACCGGTTGGGTCGCATCGCGTCTTCGTCCTGCGTCC